GGGCTCACCTGTATCTCCCATAGTCGCCGATATATTCATGGAAGACTTTGAGGAGAAAGCCCTCCTTACTGCACCTGTTACACCAAGGATCTACAAGCGGTACGTAGACGATACTTTCACAATTTTACCATCAGACAAAGTAACTGCATTTTTAGAACATCTTAATTCCATAAACTCTAAAATTCAATTTACCTACTATGGAGTTAGAGGCAAATAATTCCTTACCTTTCCTAGATGTGTTAGTCATCCGAAATCCTAACAACACCATTGGTCACACTGTGTATAGGAAAAAGACCCATACAAACCGATATTTAAACGGTGAATCTCACCACTATCCTTCACAGTTAGCTACCGTGGGCAAATCTTTGTCACAGAGAGCACGAGGGATCTGTGACAGCAAACACCTGGCCGCCGAGCTTCAGCACGTCAAGCAAGTTCTGCACGACAACAAGCTTCGGGTCCCGCGCGTACGTCACAGTGACCGAGTGAAGCCGGCCACAGTCGAGCGTGTGCCTGCTGTACTGCCATATGTTAGAGGTGTCACAGACAAGATTGGCTACATCTTGAAGCGAGCTTCTATTAGAACATTCTACAAGCCGCCGAAGACGATTAGTCAGTTCCTACCATCAGTCAAGTGTCATATTCCTCTACAAGATTCAGGAGTGTACAAGCTTGATTGTGAATGTGGTCTTTCTTATATAGGACAAACAAAAAGGTCAATTAGAACCCGCGTAAAAGAACATATAGCTGATGTGAAGCATCAACGTTCCGGGAAGTCTGCAGTTTGCAATCATATCCTAGACGGCTCCAACCATTACATCAGATTTGATAGACCACAAATCCTCGCGAAAGAACACCGATTCTAAATTAAAACTAAACTCAAGCATACCACTGCAAGACCTCAGGACATAGTCAGTTCATTTTGCATAGATCGGACCATAAACAATAATTAAAAAAAGCTAAAGGTACTCCCGGGTTTCACAATGACATCGGGACGTTAGTCATCTCAGTCCCCCGTGACCATGGGTGCTGGAAAGCGCCCGAAACGTCGGGAATTAAAAATAATAGTAAAATAAACGCGATAAAATCCGTAAAAGTAGTTTTAATCAATACTTCTGTTTTTATTTATATTTTAATTTGTTTTGTTTTGTTCATTACACACAATAACTTTATTTTAAAACATAATACTTACCTAAAATATGGTATAGACCGATTCTATTATCATTAAATATGACTTTACCATGGACTCGCCTAGGGTATTGTTGACACAACCTATGTAATTAAATCATGGCATTGAGCTATTGAGACTCAATAACTCAATGTAGGGGTGACTACAATCTGAAAGGTACCTGTAAGACTATTGTGGCACACATGCATGAGAGGGGAATATTAGATGAATTTAATACTACTATTCTTTATTTAGAAAAAAACTTGATTATTAGGTTTTAGGTTTTTTTTAAAACTATAACTTGTTTGCTATTACCAGTTGAACAATTTAGATTAGAATTGTAGACCTTCCTTTCATTCTTCCGTTCTTTACTTTCCTTGTACTAAACCCCAGTCTGGGATGGTAGGTGAAATATATGAACATGGGTGCAGTCAATAGCTCTAAGAATATCTGGCAGACCATGCTCTGCTAGGTATCCTCTAGCTACATTTTGCCTTGCTTGTTATATGCCCGGAAATTCAGTTTAGTATTAGTCAAAAATAAAATGAAAGAAGTAGATGCACTAAAACTTGTATTTACCTACACAAGAGGCTAATTAAAGTATATTCCTGCTACCCACATTCTAATGATGGCCCCAATAACTTAGCTCAAGTATTTGCTGATTATTTGTTGTTTGAACAACAGCCATGCAATGGTCTTGACTCGAACCTCTCTAGTAGGTAACTACCATCTGCCAAGAGACTGAACGATGTAAACTACCTACCTAGAAAAATATTAAGATAAGTTAGCCACATGTATTGATTGCAAATGTACGATGTTTTTGGACAAGGTGGTGTAATAGATGCTTACTTCAATATGCACTGGTAGTCCATACACAGAATTAATAGCCTTTAAAGCCTCATAGAGTTCTTTACACAAATACAAAACAATCTTTGAGCATCCGAAACCGGCGTCGTTGTCGAGGAATTCCAATAGATTAAGTATTCTGATCACGTATCCATCGCCAATGTAATTTACTTTCTTGTTTTTCAATTTCTGACACGAAAATGTAGTTGCAATAGGCTCGAGTCATCTTTTTTTGTATTAAAATGGTTTCAAGATAAACACCCATGTCCACGAAAGGTGATAAAATTGTCCCTTTCAAATGTCAAAAAGGGATAATTTTTTTCTCTTTCCCCTTGGCCCCATGCTACGGACGGGGATATGTCTACTCGTTATGTCAAACGGGGATATACTATAGAGATAAGATAATTTTATCTCTTGTCAGTGGATATAATCGGGGGATATAATTTTTGTCTCCTGCCCATGCTCGCAGGGTGGATAAAACTAAGCAAGTGATAAAATTTTTATCCCTTCCCCGGGAATATATTCTCTCCTGCCCATGCTAGCCCGGCTGAGAGGCTTACTGGGACTAGCCCGTTCGCAGAAACAATTACGGAAATAATTTCATAATATTTTTGTAATAAATTTCGTGGTAATATCGAACAAAAATATCCCTGGTTATGCCCGGTCCATCAGCACAATATCAGGCTTATTTCGCAAGAATAGTCCTGTCTGTGATGATGGCCCAGTCCCAGTAAAGCCTGGCGCGTTCATTTTCGAGCACGGCTTCTAGCAAGCACTTTTACAATAAGGCAGTTTTCGGTCCACGAGACCGTATTTCAGAGCGAGCTCCTGGTGTAAAATCCTGGCTACTAGGTTGTGCCTGTGCAAGTCAAAAGTAGAAAAGCAGAAAATACTCAGAGTTAGAAAGCGCCGAACAACTGAACAATTATTATTATTATTATTTTGACAAAAGAAATAAAATTTTGCACCTATAAATATACCGGTTGCGCTATATTAGCTATAAGGCTATAACCGTCAACCGATGTAGAGAACAAAGGCTCTCGAGTTGCAAACTCATACAGGTAACTGTAGTGTAGAACGACCTCCCACTACATGGAGTGACAAACTGATAAGATGCAGGTGTCGAGCCGTGCTTTGTTTCATTCCTTGGGGGAAGTCTATGTCCAGTAGTGGACTTTTAAATGGCTGCAATGATGGATAATGATGAAGATGATGAGAGATATCGGGGAAAAATGTATATAGATTAGTTTCTACAATATCAACAAGACAAAAGCAACAAGCGAAGCCGATCGCATGTTTCCTTCATGACTAGCATGGCGCCCGGCGTTTCGATTTAGCCCGGTGCAAAACAAACTAATACACATGAAAAAGGCAATTAAGAGCACGCCGCGCGATGTTTAGATTTACGATCGAGGGGAGGGGGCAGGGCGAGTCATCGAGGGGGAATGCAAGGGTGGCCCCTATTTATAGGACGTCCATGGTTCGGTCAACGCGTCGATAGAAACTGCGGTTTAAACAAATAGGTGCGTAGGGATATGTAAACAAACAACCGATGTTGTCGCAACTTGACGCCGTGTGCAGACGGCCTAAGTGAATCAATCGCCCGTTTTTGTATCGTAAGACAAGAAGCCACTATGGGAAAGAATAAAATGAGACTGACTAAAGATTCATAGCGATTTTCACCCATCACATTTACGTCAGACGTAATTATACTCATCTGTCTGCTATGCATAACAATTAAGGCAAATACTCCCCCACAACGTGCGAGGCCTAGGCCATGGTCTTGAAATTCTTTTTCAACCCTAGAGGATTAATACCAAGAACGCTGAGCACATTTTCACTTCGAATCTCTATAACAAACAATCTCTATTACTTTTATTATAATCGGTAACGATCATATGTCTATGCAATTTCTTTAAAAGCTTGAACCATGTAACCAATTCATGGTATAAATAATGTCACATCAATGATAATATGTTGCAAACCGTAACACTCATTACTATGCGGACGACAGCACTGGTGATGCTTTATACACCGGCAGTGCCAATATTACTCGGGAAATCGTCGTCGCTCCGATACTTAGCGAGTTCAACAAAGTTTTGACCTCAAGGTCAAAACTTTGTTGAACAAATATCGAATATCACATCACATATCGAATTACGTGCATGTTCGTCGTCATTTGGAAGAGAAGGCCTACTTGGCCTCTAAAAAGTTTCAGAATTTCATGCCGGCACACCGCAAACTTTACAAGGCGCAGGTTCGGTCTCATATGGAATACATATTAAATGTTCATAATTTTTAAAATATAAAACTGAACCTGACGGTAAGTGGCTACTACATTCCATGGACATCTACAGCCAGCTTCAAACAAGAAGGCTACAGATGCGTCGTCACACGTCTGAGAACTAAATTGGAATTTCTCACAGCCTGCAATTATACTGACTCTCTGTACGCTTCATATCAGAACACAGCAGTGCAAACTCTTCTATTTAGCAGCAGAAATAGGTAACAGGGAGGTTCATACACAGACAGCCTCATAGAGAGAAAGGAAGACCTACCTCCTTGTACAATTAGCTCATATTTTTGACAAGTACTTAGTTCCGCGGTGCCATGGCCGCTCAGAAGCGCCTCCTTACTAGTAAATGCCTATACCAGTGTAAAATAGCAGCTCATTGCTGCTGTTTCGATGGTGAGAACCGGAAAGCCTTTTTTAATGGAAATGAAGCATTCCATCTTAGTCCTCAGGAGTGACAACGCATTTACATTTTGATTCTTAACCGGGAACAGATGTGGATGTCTATGAGCCACAGTATACAAATGTGATGACAACCGAACACACAGTCCACCTTGTGGTAAGTATCAGGTGTCCCTGTGTATACGTTTATCACCCTTATTCTATAAAAAAAGTGTCTTCTATTCTCGTCACTCCTTTGTTATGTGTTGCGTACAATTTAAACACAATGGAAAGCACACTTATTAACCTTACCTCTTTGTCCGTCTGCACTCTAGCCACGTCCCCGTGGATCTTCTCCCGGAGCGCCACCAGCTCCAGTGGCCAGTTGGACAGCTCGGCGTCAGGGTCCGACAGCAGCACCTATGCCAGACATATACAGACATATAATGGTTTTAAACTATTTTTAGACACATTTCGTTCGAACTTGTGATCACTTAAGGAATAAACACAGAAGAAAGTGTTTTAAGTGAACCTTATACTTCTAACACAGTTTAGCTGTTCTGGTCCAAAATTTGATAGCGGACCCATGGGCGCCGCCAGGATTACTTTTAGGGAGGTGCATCTGGCATCAAGCAAGCCAGGTATTTTAATATTACACACAGACAGTTTATTTTATATTAACGAGTATATTATGTTGTATAGATTGTGTTAAAACAACAATCTTTATCGTGTGTGTACTGGATACACACACGCACACACACGCGCACACACACATACACAACGTCTAGCGCCTGAGATACTACGGTTTTACTTTTTTTTACTTATTATAAGCTAGTACTTGACCACAATACCACCAGGTGGTAAGTATTGATGAAGCCATAGATGGTAAATGTCACTGTCTTAGCAAAAGCCCATTCACTCTTGCCTCGCAGACGTCCACATTGTATTCGGACGGAAAGACAGGCGCCGTCAAATTATTCCACTCGTTTGCTGTATGCATTACGAAAAGCAAAGTAAATCGTGTGGTTCTAATGCGTTGTATGTTGACAACAAAATTAGGTACTGGGATCGAATCCCGGAACGGGCCAAAATCAGTTAATGGATTTTTCTGCCAACAAGTCCTCAGTAGCAGCCTGGAGTAAGAAAATTGGCGATGTTTCACGACCGTGCCCTGCACGTAAATCCGTGGGTACTTAGTATACTCTTAGCACGCCTTTCCAATGAATCCAAAGCCACTAGGCGAATTTCGAAGCACCAGCCCATATAAATTTAACAGCAACACTTCATGCACTACCGGAACCGCCGACCGCCTGGTTGTGCGATGGTGGATAGGATAGGAAGGAATTAAATTTTTTTTTTTACTGATTTTATCGCAAGACTCCGTGGCCATGGGTGGTGTCAAGCATCTCAAACCGAAACGTCAGGAATAAAAAATAAGTGGATTAAACCGGATAAAATCTATTAAAAATAGTTTTATTCAATTAACATTAAATCAATTGGCATACATAGTAAAAACATTGAGTAAAACCACTTATATGGATTTCATCGCGTTTAATTAACTTATTTTTAATTCGCGACGTTTCTGGTGCTTTACAGCACCTATGATCACGTGATCACGTGATCACGGGGGGTACTGTAGTCTTTAGACCGTAGTTTTATTTAATGTGTAGTGTTCGCGTAAACTTAAGAAATCATTAGTAAAAACATTTTTTTAATCGTCAAACTCGATAGAAGCATTTCCGATCGCAACACCAGATTCTGAACACTAGGGGGCGAAATTTTCATATGTCATTTGGGTAATATTTCTAATTCTATGTAGGTAAGTTTTTACCGTTTGTTTTCTTTATGGTTATTATTAGACTCGTCTATTTTCAGACGTTCATTTCCCTTTTTTCTTTCTCAGGATGAGGTGTTAGATGTTCTTTGACAACAGAATCGGGCGTTACTTTGCGGATGTCCATTATATTAAAGTTGTTAAGATTTACCTCGACTACCTATATCCGAAATGATGTGTCTTACCTATAGTTTAAAGGGCACCGCTAAGAAAAAAGACCGCTATCATAGCGGTCAGCAACCGCAGTCTACTTTACCTGACGATGCTTCTTGTAGATGCGTAACACATGACGTATTATCGAAGGTGAAGTGTTACATTGGGTCGTGGAATTGCGAGTAGTGGTGCTGGGATTAGTGGTGACGGGAATAGTGCATGCCGTTGAGGGAGGCCGGGACGTGCTCTTCAAATTAGGTAAGACACATCATTTTATTTCATTAAGGCGATGTTGGCGAAGTAATTCTTACCAACTTTAAAACATTAACACTATCTCCTATAAATAGGTTGACCCTAATAGAGTTAACTAGTAATAGCTATAGAAAGTCATGAAAACAAGACAGAATCGATAATACTTAACCTATGACATTCTGTTGATTCTGTACATAAACATGTTTCATTATTTTGATGCAAGTGCGGTGACTCACCAAAATACCTAATGAAATAAAATTTAAGGCGACGTTAAAGAACTTAACTTTTTGAACCTCTGTAAATGTACTGAAATGTGCAAAAATAGAATCATTTAAAAAAAATTGAACATTCAAACAAGGTGATGTGTGAAGACAAAAATGCCAATCATAATTATTATTGTCTCAATAAAAATAGTCATAAATATGACACTAAATCCCTTTTTTAACGTGTACCTTGCCGAGATTCCATAAGGAAACCGTGTAAAAGTTTTAAGAAATAATTCGAGATAGAACATACGTCACTAAAATTCTACTACTACTAGTTAAGTTCTTTTACGTGGTAGCTATGCTGTAGCTATATTATAGTTGTGGTAGTATAAGTAGCTCGAATTAGGTAAGGCATCACTCTCACAGAATACCAGCGTAAAATTGCAGCTTAATAATGCTGCTGTTTCGTATGGTGACTGCAGACAACAGTAGACTCATTTTACTGGAGACGAGGCATTTAGTTCTCAGGTGTGACAACGCACCTGGATTTTGTTTCTTAATCGAGGATTGATGTAGATTTCTATGGGCTATTGGTCACTCCGTTCTATGTAAAATAACATTTCACACGATAAATGCAGACTACACACTACAAGAGAGTTTTAATAATAGTATTTATTATTATTATAAAACATTCGTAAATTTAACTTACAAACATATCTACCATTTCCCTCTAAAGCACACACAATACACAAAAATCACTTCACGTAGCACTGTTCAATATTAACATGTACAAACATAAAAACATCACAGTTTAATACTCAAGCATCCAAAGTCACACAATAACTGAGAAAGACATTATAATAAACATTCAGGACGCTTGACCCCACTACCCTTATCATTCACAACCGCCGATTGTGACAATCGACACAACGACAATAATATTTTGCGTACAAAAGTTTGATCATTAGTTAATTAGTTAATTATAATTTAAATGTCCTTACTCAAAAAATAATTCATTATTGGGTCATTAAGGAAACATTGTTTACACAAAATGTTTATTTTAGACAGTTAAGACACAACAACGTTTTACAAAATTATGCTTAAGTAAAGAAGACCCCTTAGACTTAGCACGAAAGTGATTACAATTTTAAATTACGCAAAAATCAGCAGTTTGGTAAAAGAATAACTCACCTGTCATTTTCTAGAGGTCTCGAAAAACTCTGATAAAAACAGAATAACCCTTAACCGTTAAACAGGGGAATTCGTCATAAATTCAAGGTCATTCTTTATACAAGTTAAACTTTTGTTATATGTGAGAAAAAATAAATAAATACATAATCTTATTATTTTTAGATACTTAGGTTGTAAAGCGCAGCGATTATAAACATACGTTGAGATGGGAACCTGGCACTGATAATCCGCACATTAACATCCATCCACCATTCAACATATCTAGAAGTCGTGGTAGAGCCATGCTGCACTGCAGCCTAAAATGGTTGAAACACTTATGGGTCAGCTTGACCGGGAAAGGACCAAGCTCACCCAGAATAAAAACGTGAAAAGCAGCATAAAGCTGCTATCGCATCGCGAGTCACGTGGACCGGATACCCTTTTAACTGATAACGAAGCATTCCATCTTAGTCCTCAGGGGGTGACAAGGTATCTCCATACTGATTCTTAATTGAGTAAATAATGTCATTGTCTATGGATCGTAAGATCCATTTACCGTCAAGTGGACTACGTGTGGACTGATCGGAGTGTCACCCTTAGTCCTTTACGTAAATGTAAACCTTTAATAAAAGTGAAATATTTTCCACACCCGTATCCATCTTATCACAAAACGTGGTTTATGAACAGTTTCGGATCTAAAATACATACTGTATTTTAGGAAGGAGAGTATTATTGTTTTTTTCTTTTCCTTCTTTCAATTGATATCTGTCTCTTTCTGTTCTATTAATATTTACTTGTAACTGCCTTAAACCTAGTTCGGACAATATGTATTTTTTCAAGGGACGCCCTACACGCTAGTTTATCGACGCTACATTGCGATATATTGAAGATGGGTCCAAATTAAGAGTACCCTTAATTGCCCATGTATGCGTAGGTATACATGCTCGGCGATCATCAGACGAGAGAGAAGTGTCAGTATCGTGCCTACCTAATGGTAGTCCGTAGTCTGTCTATCCCTCTGGGAGACGGGCGTGAGTGGTCTTGTTATGCATATTTTGATGTATTTATTTCAACATATTATGTTCATACAACCTTTTTACAAAAATTCATTCAGAAATATTTTAATCCGTACACAGACAAAAAACAGCACGAGACAGCGTGGATGAAACAACGGGGTCAATCTCGCGAAAAATGTCCCCGCGGCCTGGCGCTCCGCCAGCCGAGCGCCAACCGAAATGGCGATGACCCGTCTCTCGCGATGTCTGTACACACTTACACAAAAAACTTTTTACGGGCGCAATGATTTCTTATATTTACGTGTAAACTACTCATTGATTAAAACTACTTTTTACGGATTATATCGCGTTTAATTTATTTTATTTTTAATACCCGGCGTTTCGGATGGTTTGCAGCACCGATGGTCACGGGAGACTGAGGTGACTTACGTCCCGATGTCAGTGTTAACCCGGAGTACCTTCACCTTTTTAATTATTATTTATGGTCCGATCTATGCAGAATGATCTTACCGTGCCTTGAAGTCTTGCAGTGGTATGCTTGGGTTTAACTACAGGCTCCCAAGCAGGTGGTAGTACCCAGCCTCCTTCTCTATTGAAATTAGAATGTTTTTTAATTTCAATAGCTTAGCGTAACCTTGGTAGGGATCGATGGTCTTTCGCGAGGATTTGTGGTGTATCAAATCTGATGTAATGGTTGGGGCCGTCTAGGATATGATAACAAACTGCAGACTTCCCGGAACGTTGATGCTATTATTAAAAATAAAATAAATAAAACGCGATAAAATCCGTAAAATTAGTTTTAATCAATTTCTACGGGTGATCAAAATAACAGCGTATTTCAAGATATTTCCGCTTTATTTTACTTATAAATAAACATCGCAAAAGAAAATCTGCAAGTTTCTTGCCTCGAAGGTGCTCCTTGAGCCTAGGAAATAGATAGAAGTCACTGGGAGTTACATCCGGCGAATAGGGCGGGTGTTCGAGCAGTTCAAATCCCCTTGCGGGATCGTTTTTTTTTTTGCTCTTCGGTTAACATTATCGGTACCCAACGTGCAGAGATCTTTTTCATATGAAATTCATTCGCAAGCATTCTTTGAACACTGCCATTTGAGATCCCTGTGACCTCAGCTATGTGCCTGATGGACACTCTTCAATCTGCCAATACATCTTCGCCTTTTTTCACTTTATCTTCAATTACGGATGTGGATATGCGCCCTTCGCGATGTTCCCCTTCCGTGGATGTTCTACCTACTTTGTTTTTCTCCATTTTAATGTTATCACTTTTTTTATAGGATAGGATGACAAACGAGCACATAGTCCACCTGATGGTAAGTAGTTGCTGCGGCCCATAGACATCTACATCTATCCTCGATTACGAATCAAAATGCAGATGCGTTGTCACCCGTGAGGATTAAGATGAAATACCTCGTTTCCAGTAAAAAGGGTCTCCGGTCCAGTCCACTCACCATACAAAACACACTATTTCACGCTGGTATTCTGTGAGAGCGTGGTCCTTCCCCAGTCGAGCCGGCCCATTCGTGCCACAACTATACTACTAATATAATTGCAGCATGGCTCTACCACGTACAAGAACATCGATGATTCATATTCAAATGAATGTACCTCCTGGGAATCGTAGCCTATTTATACGATTTTTATGCTGATGGTGGGTACATGAGCAAGCAAAAAATTTTTTTTGGATTTTGATGTGCACTGGAAATAACCGATTATCATTACTTCTGGATCACCCCCCGTATTCTCTGCTGAGACTGGTGAAGACTGATAATGTTCAAAGTAGACCTTCTCAATGCTGTAAACACCCAGAAATTTAACACGATTGTTTAAATTCTACGCATTCCAACTACACGGTTTGTTTCATCTTTATTAATGCGTACATTAAAGGTGTAGAGTAACATGCTAGCTTCTGCCTTATATATACATATAAATAATAATAAGACAGTGCGATTTACAAACTAATAGGCCTTTTCTTAAAAACTGAAGTGGCAGACGAACTTACAGTCCACCGCATGGCAAGTCGCTAATGCAATTCATGGACATATGCAAGCATCTTTAAACGCTACGGCTATCGATGTGTTAATAAATAATTTATTACTTTGCAATCTTCCGCTAATTACAATGATGTGTCTTACCTGGATTGAAGAGCACCTCCCACCCTCCCTCAATTGCATGCACTAACTCCGTCACCACTAGTCCCAGCACCACTACTCCCAACACCATTACTCCCGGTACCACTACTTCCAACACCGGTCAGTCGCCGTAGTCTACATTACCTGAGGATGCCTCATGTAGAGGCGAAACACGTGTCGTATTGTCGTCGATGGTGTGTCTTACCTGGAATAGTGGTGTTGGAAGTAGTGGTGTCGGGAGTAGTGGTGCTGGGACTAGTGGTGACGGAGTTAGTGCACGCAACTGAGGGAGGGCGGGAGGTGCTCTTCAATCCAGGTAAGACACATCATTGTAATTAGTTAGCGGAAGGTTGCAAAGTAATAAATTATTTATTATAATGGATTTCCGCAAAGTAACGCCTGATTCTATCACCGTCATCTCCGTTACAGAATAAACAAAAGTACTACGTACAGAACAGAAGTTGAAGTACTTTGATGCTAATTGCTTGCTGGCGTTTTAATATCCTACATAATTATTAATTATTAGATAAATCGCGCACGCAAGCTAGTGTCCGTATTACTTTGCATCTTTTCCCCTTCCTAAGTCACGGCGGACTTTCCGTGGTTACTTAGGGCAGTCAATAAAGAGTAAAAAATGCATTGCGAAATGGTAAGTTACATAGGTAAGGTACTTATTCTGACTATTATTGACTGACCATATTTTCGCCACTATGTGAGTTCTGTGACCCTGTGTGAAATACGATTCCTAAAGGAAATGTGATCGTATTCTACTTAGTCAAATATTTTGTAACCAATGTTTTAATTTCAGTATTTTGTGTAATTATAACTTAAAATATTAATTATAAAGACAAGTATAGGTATATAAGTGTACGTAGGTACTTCAATAATGAAGTAAATTTCAACTAAGTTCTGTAATTCGGTAGGACTTCTGTAGTTAAATTATTACTTAATTCTTTTTTCTCTGAGGAAATACCTGGGTAGTTTATGTATAATTTGTAGACCTTGCGTACAATTTCGTGGTTGACCATACCTACCTACCTACTGCTTACATCAGTACTTAATAATTTTAAGTTCCTAACAAAATATAATGAAATATATAATAATTTCACCTTTCATGATTCCTCGGTAACTTAAAAAATCGGCCAAGTACGAATCGGACTCGCGCATGAAGGTTCCGGTACCACCGTAAAAACAAGTGTCTAGTTGGGTAGCCCCCATTAATTATTTGTTGTTATAGCGGCAACAGAAACACACATTCCGTGAAAATTTCAATTGTCTACATATTACGAATCATGAGATACAGCCCACTGACACACGGATGGACGGACAACGAAGGCTTAGTAATAGGGTCCCGTTGGTTACGCTTTGGGTACGGAACCCTA